AGAGCTAGTCTCAATCACTGGACAAACCCTGGTCTGATTGAGACTAGCTCTTTCTAGCGGGCTCAACTGAGTAGGTTTATCCTTCCCTATCTACCTGAAGACGGAGACAGATCCAGTCTCCGAAATGTCGTGGTCTTTTCTCTTTTACATACCAGACGATGGGTGGAGTCCAACATAAGCCAAAAGAAGTACAGTATACACCATCGTCAGAATCCTTTCAAGTCTATCTGAGTAATCTTGTTGTATTGAGTATTCAAAATTCTGACGATGATGACTATCTGATTATGTATGTATATTCATATGTTATAGTGTATTGCTGACTTGTGCTATATCTGAGGCAGATGCCTCCATGGATTTTGTAGAACTGTAAATAAATGAACGAATGAATGAACATATTTGCTAGAAACAATTCCATATTGTCTGGACTCAAATAATAACACTTTGAGACTATGTCTCTTTTACGCACAAAGTGTCTTAATGTCCAGACAGTTTTTACATGTAATAAAAGAAATCACTACTATTGTACATACACATATTTCCCACTTCCAGGATTGAAAAGTACAATGTGGAATTTTTTTTTGTGCTACTTAACAATGCTTTCACTTTCAAAACTATATAACATTGGTGCAAGTTTTATAGTTACGTACAGACTGGCATAAAAACCATTAAACTTTCAACAGAAAACTATTATGGTTATCAATACCATACATACTCCATCAAACTGTACTTCCTTTACTGCAATCCACTCATACATCACACCCCTTGAGGGGAAATGAAACCACGGCTTACTGAATGTGCATACTACAAATTCAGAAAGTTCTGGAAAGACAGCTACATTTATAGTAAAACTTGATGGGCACACTAAGCATTACTTCTATCTAGAACCCTATAAATGAATTTTCAGAACAGCTGGACATGGCAACAGTGACACATAGAACTGTAAAGTTTATTGCTGTCATTTTCTGACCTTACTTGTAATTACTACCAACTCTGCTAATATAACTATCACATAATAGCAAACATTAAGATTTTTACACATATATGAACATTTCAGTTACAAAATACAAAAATATTAAAAAATCGTTAAAAACTGAAAATATAAATAGTTTCCTTCATCACAGTGTTAGCTTGAAATACAGGTACTGTCATATTATTAACTTGTTATGAAGGTAAGTAGGTTTTCAATATTTGTACAACAGACATGAGATCTGAATGTATTTAAAATACTTTTTCATTCAGATATGTCCACTTCCTTCAGATCCAGGTTTTAGGCATAGTTTCAGGAACTCCATAAATAATATGCAAAGAGTAGTTTTTTGCACTAAATAAAAATACATGCCATGTTTCAGGCACAAGGGTATCCAAAATACCATCCAGGTTTTGCCCAACAATTAATTATACTCAAAATGTAGGAAATTTGAAATAAAACTGTTCCCTTGCAGCATCACACAGTAATTACATCTGACAATGGAAAACTTGCTTTATGTGGCAAGATTCAATCTACTGCCACTTCACATGTCTAGGTGTATGTAACACAAAGAGTACAAAATTATGATCTGTGATCTTCTTTGTTCACTCCACACACATTTTTCACTTCCACTAACTACATATTTTGCTTCCAAAGGTTCAAGATATCCTATAGGGGAAATAGTCTCTAGCCAGAAGATTTCCTCTTCTATGAATGTTCCAAGTAGTTGCCGAACTTCCTCCAGGCCTGACATCTTCCACAGAGATTACAAGATGCTGCTGAACATCCTACAGGCCTGATGAATATAAGCCCACCAACAAACCTGTTCAACTTATTGTTGCATTTGCAGCTTGTTTTGATGGAATATGTTTAACTAATTAAATGAATTCACCAGGGCTAGATCAAAAGATGCAGGGATAGCTTACCCACCACTGGTGTCTGTTAAAGAAAAATAAGACAGACATGACTTTTGTAATTATGATCTCTTCCATATTTGTTGCAATGGATAATAGCTGCAGATCTGCTGTTTTTATGTCTTCTTCCTTGGCTACTCTCAACTTCCAATTTTTCATAAAAGGAATAGCAAACAAGATGTATATATTTTGGGCGTTGCTCCACTTCACAACTAGATGTTTATGGCACCAAAAGATCCTCTCGTCCGTCTCTAGTTTCTGCTGGTATGCCTCCTTTGATGTTTATGCCCCATTAGGTATGACAGTTCCACTTCTTTCATGTCATGCCAGCAAACATGATCAAGAAAGTCAATGTAAAACAAACTGTACTCATCAATGGTCAGCCTGCCCACACCTCAACAAAGAATTCACATGTACACCGCTTTCAGTATACCCTTCAAACGCACAAAAACATATCCTCACTGAGCTTCACATACTTAATATAATTTTATGGCTTTATTTCTTGGATGGCTCTTGTTTCTGCTCGGGTGGCTTCTCTCTCTGCAGCCATCTTTTCTTGCCAGGCCTTCGAGTCGGCGTGTGCTTTTATTTGGATAGCCCTAATCTCTTCCAGCATTTCTATAATCTGCTGCATCTCTTGTTTCTCCATTTTCTAGCAGTAAAACACTCGATGCACAATAATTGTTTGTGGCGTGTTTAAGTTCATAAAAATTCTGACACAAAATGTAACGTGTCTCGAGTTCGAATCCCGTTGATCACGTGTGCAAGTCCAAATCCCACTTCTGACACCAGTTGTCGCGTGTTTGGGTGTATACGCGACAAATAACTTCACGCCGTATCTGATATAGTGAATTTTATTTCACATTTGCACTTACAATCACACAATTGACAGTTTTAGAACTACTGCTATCTGCAGTATCACAAATACTACACTTTAAATGCCACGTTACAACTGACTGGTTGCTGGCTAACTCGGAACTAGCGTAGCTCGAGGACTCACTCGGAGGTAGCTCCAGGACTAACTGTGAATAGCCTTCGCTGCTCCTTATGTAGCCTCGGTCCAGACCATTGTCGTCTGGTGCCGTGTTGCTAGCCACGCTGTCCGGAGTTGTTGACTGCTGCCTAGCAACCGCGATATCCCTCGGTGACTCACTTTGCATAGCTTCAAGGTTGCTGGGACTCGGCTAACGTCGGCTCCGCTTGGCTCACTTCGGCTCCGCTCGTGACTTCACCGCGGGGAGAGTTGCGGGGTGATTACTCGCCTATTACGCAAGCGCTACGTTACCGCTACGTGCCGCTGGGGAGGTATGGGTCAACATGTCACAATACTATAAAACGCTTATGTCCTCTCAACCCACAAATATTATCACTAACAGGAAGTTACAGATAATATTCCAAAAATCTGTGAATAATTTGTCTAATATTAGTCTCCTTTTCTGCATTAAACAGTATCCAGAATTCAGTGGTGCCACTGCAGAAGCAACATGGTCAGAATGACAAAATGTCTGGTATGTTGACATACACAGACTAGTGGAGATGATAAAAGGTATTTGTTGACTGTCAATCACGTGATACAGGTTTCTGGATCAGACACCTACAGAAAATTGAGGCTACAAAAATTCTGGTTTCACAAAGAATGACAGGTTTCCATTTCAAAACCAGTGAGTTATCTTCCCAAACTGCTATTTATTGACCTGTGTATCGGTCTTCATCTTCACCACATCAACACTGTTCATTTCTAAAATCTGAAATACCTCAAGATACGCCTCCATCAGTGAGTTATGTTTACAATAAGCCTGGGGTTGTGGTGAATGGAACTTGTTACACTTGGATGTCAATATACTTCCACTCTACTTTTGATACCTCTTCATACTGCTGCTAACTGACAACAAATTAGCCTTCCACACACTGTTTAAGACTGTGAGCAGTGCATTCTTACACTGTCTTTGCGCTGGAATCATTTGATTTCACAGAATTGGTGCACAATTGGCTCAAAAACTGAAATATGATCCAAATTTTCTGAAGTAAGTCTGCTTCTGCTTCTAGCTTAGACCATGAACTGTCCAATCAAAATTTCAGTAGTATTTTTGTTTTTAAGAATTCTGATCATTTATGATTCATGGCTGTAGAACTATACTAGCTTCTGAAATACACATTGCAAAACAAGAATACAGATTTGGTCACATCATCACTGGATTGGATTATAGTAATTTCCTTAGTTTATTACTGTCACTGCTTTAAATTATGCCATCTAAACATGTGGCTAGCAATGCCCATGAAGATGGCGTGACTTCAAAATTTTAAAAAATAAGGAATCATGAACACAAATAAGTTGAACACAATAAAAACCAACTGATATAACATGTAAATTTAATCAATAAAACCAATATTTCAAACCTACATGCTTCAGCTGTTCTGCTCTCATCAGTGGTGTTCACCAGTTTTAAAGAGACATCAAAAGCTTACAATTCATGTTTAAAAATACTAAAATATAACACACTATGACTGCTGAATGTGAATGCCTAACAGCCTATCCTCTTGTTGCCATGCAACGGGTAATATTGGCTGTTCTGCACTTGCAGAGGCCAAAATTCTATTTTAAATGAGAAATGTAAAACTTTTAATGCTCCTAGAAATTAGCGAACACCTCTAACAATTATAAAAAAACCCAAATATGTAGGGTAAAATCGTCATTTCAGTGATTCAGTTTGTACTGTATTAACTCCCTTTCAATAAGTTGAAAAATAAAAGACACAGCAGCAACGATGACATCCTTAAAACTATGAATTACTGCCATTATATGACATCTAATGTTTGTAAGGTCAGCTACAAGAGGTACACTACATAATGGAATCAAAATTTCAAAACCTATACATTAAAAAAACTGTGCATATTTTGAAAGTAGCAATGTCTTATCTGATCAACCTGCACTAGTGACTGGTCTAATATAGCCTCAGTAGAGCTTAGTGTTATATGTTTATGAACTTTATAAAGAGAAAAGGAACTGCAATAAGTACATGTGGAATACATATACAGCAGAAAAGGAAACTGTACACTGAAGCAACCAGGGTTGACAAAGAGTAATATTACTATTGCAATCTGTTCCACAAACGTGGAAACTGAAAATAAAACATCCAAAGTCTTCAACATTGAAAAGAGGAATTAAATCTTCCAAACTGCTAAAAAATAAGTAGTACCCAAATTTCTTTTCTGTATAAGAAACTGCTGTTAAAAGAAAATTGACAACTATCTTTTTACAGTTCTTTGAATACTCAAACAGTGGAACTACAGGTTCATATCTCACTCAGGATATGGATGTATGTTCATGAACTATCTGTGTTTTGTGTTGTCCTGCATTAGTAGAGGCCATCCAAGGAGTCCTATGAAATGTCTAAAAGATTCGTAGTTTCAGAAGCTAATTCTGAACTGGAACAAGGCAGAAGGCATAATTCATTAAGGATGAAAAAGTGAAATGTGCTTTAGACCATTTGTTCTTCATTACTGTCTAATACCTCTTTATCTTACCTGTCTCATCTCCAATCGCCCAGACTAGCAGATCCACACATGCAGAATTTGCCATTACATTTACTTTAAATTTGTTTACAGTTGCATAGTTACTCTCCCTATCCTCACGTTCACTAGCATCATGGTGACGGCTCTGCAATTCTGTTTGCCCTGACAGGAAAAGCCCCTTTACAAATTCTTGTACATCTCGTGTAAATGGGCTTGGTAAGTCTGGAACAAATACCAATGTAAATTTTATATGTTATATCCTACCATTCTAGCCACACTATCACATTATAGAGCATTCTGAACTCTAATGGTCAAACATGACTGTATCATTTGTTTGTGGCTCCACTAGTGCAATTAACTCTAATTAACGAAACAGCTATAGCTAGCTAGCTATCTAACTAAACTAGCTTACAAAACAACCAATCAACTAACCACCTACCCAACTAACTCCATGTAGATGAGATCCTCTTCAGAAGCCTAACGTTGTTCAGCCACACAAGAAATTCCCAGCACTTTATGGAAGCCAAAATTCCATTACCATGTTCACAAGAGCCTGCCACTGGTCCGTATCTCAAGCCAGACAAATCAAGTCCAACACCCTTACCATCTTATTTCTTTCAAGAACCATTTTATTAGTATCCTCCCATCTATGCCTATTATTGTGCCCCAGGTTATTAATGGGTATGCTTTATCCTAACAAGGGGTCAGTGTTACTGATTAGAAAATAATTATAAGTTTTATAAATTTAAATACGTCAGGTGAACCACAAGTTGTAAATTCGCTGGAAGCCTGAGTCGAGACGCCGTACATTCTTTAGCCATCCGGTGTCAGCTGTACAGTCTATAAAAATTGCTGACAAATTAAGTAATGACACGAGGCAAGTCTCGCCACCGCGCAGTTTGCTGACTTTAGGGGTTTTGCTATAGCAGCTTTTCGTAATGTTAAATTTTAAGGGGCTCAGATGGAAAGAGCTGCGAACAGTCAGATTTTAAGAGTAGCTCAGAACAGTCGCATGGTAGGAAGGAGATGCGATGGAGTCAGATGTCTTCCTCTTTTGTGAGCGTGAGTACTTGCCTGTGTTCGGATCACTTATGATTGTAAATATATGATTCTGGTTCAACGATTTTGGTTAAACTGTTTTAGTGTATAAACTTTGGAGTGTACAGAGTAATTCTGAATTTTTGAGTGATGGTTTAGATACCAGCATTTGGTTAATAATTAAGTTTCGATGGTAACCATTTGTAGTTATACTGGCATATTGGTTTGAGGTTGTAGATAACGCTAATCATGAGAGTTTGGTAATTTAAAGAAATTTCAAAGTGCTTGTGCATTTGAATGTTTTGTCCGTCAACATTTATGCAATTGTTACATACCAAAATGATAGAATTTTGTACGAAAAGGCGAATGAGTTTGGCTCTCACATTTTTAGGAGGATTGACTTTGTTGGTTCATTTTGTGGAAAGTAACTGGACTCCGGGTATTGACAGAAACCATGTAGCAGTAGTGGACAGGAATTCAAGTAATGAGAATAATTACTGGTTGTATGAAGAGTCTGAAATAGTAGAAGCATGTCATCCTTGTACTGAGTTTGAAGTTACAAGTAAAAGTACTGATTTGTGTCATGTAGGTTTAGCGTATTATGGACAGTTAAATGTAGGAATTTAAAACTAGGGGTTTAATCGAAGGTTTTGTGTGTATTGACAGGTTGTTTGTTGTAATGGTGTTTTATTTCATTATATATTACTTTATTGTTGTTGATAAGTACTTGATTTATTTGTGGATCCCCCGAATGCAAGCATATTTTCCACTTCACAGGTTAAGAGTTATCTATGAACATCTGATAGGGGGTGAGTACAGTCACTGACCCCTATTAAGGCACAACAAATTGGTGGTAGCGATAAGATATAAAAAGATATTTTTGTGTCGCAATCGTTGTGGCATAACACTATGTCTTTCCAGTGGTATGTTTCCTTCAGGTCTCCCTACCAAAACTTTGTATGCACTCCTCTCTCATGCATGCTACATGCCCTACACATCACATCCTCCCTGATCTCATCATTCTAAAAACATCTGGTGAGGAGCACAAATTATGGAGCTCCTTAAGTATGGCAAGTATTATACCTCTGGCTGCACTACTGCAATAAATTTCAACTGACTCCTTAAATGACTAACCAGCCACTAGCTAGTTACATGCCTGCATAACTAGCTACATATGCAATTGATCTGACTGACTGAACTCTCTCACTGGTCCATTTACTCACTGATATCATAGTAAGGGGTATTTCTTGAAACAGATATTGCTCCACAGCTAGTCAAGAAAATACCGTGTTCCCTCCTTATAAGTAAGATTTTTTGGTATGTTCACAATGAAAAGGTACTGCAGAACTTTATTAAACTGCAGCGACAGATCCAATTTCAGCTAAATTTGGATGACAATAACAAATGCTCTACATGAAGACCTACACGCATTTCTGCACACATCTCAAGTGTACCTCAAAAAGCTATACTTAAATACAAATCATGCAAAAAAAGCCAACATATTTCATTACAAATTTAAAAAAACAATGGTACTCACATTTAGCTCTCTGAACTTTCAACTTCTCTTCTGCTGCAGTTCACAATTACTAAATGTTTTAGGTTTTCCATAGTTAGTCGCCTCCTACTGTCTCATAAGATGTCCTTATAGCAGGAAAAACTTCTTTCCACCTTACAGGAACTTAGGGGCGCATGTACAAAAGCCGCTATTTGCTCCACTGTTAGTGATTTTATACTTGGCATTTCAGTACGTTTACTGGCTAAAATTTCTTCAATTTCACAAATTTGTTCATATCCTGGATTTTTTTAAAGAATGCCATGTACTTTTTCCTTTACTACTTCACCAACTCTTCCAGGAACCAAATTCAATTTGGAAACAGTGGTTTTGAACACACTTAATGACTGATAAAAAGTAGTATTGCTATTGCTTGCCTCCAGTGAGGAAATGGCGGATGGAAGATGAGAGAAGTGAGCAGATATATAGGAAAAATTAGTTTCTAGTTCTGCGTCTTTTAGTACATCTTGGGCCATTTGAATTGATGCTGCACTTTTGGGATCAAATGTATTCACGACATTCCTGTTTCTAAATGTTCGGTATAATAACTTGCTGCACACGACGTGCTCCAGCGCGTTAAAATTGGTTCTGGCGGAAGTGGAATGCTCGGTGTTACTGCTTTAAAGGCTTCTTTTCTGTATGGCGCTTTAACAAATACCTTCATCACAGAAGACATCAACTTGTCAACAAGCAGAAAATTTGCACGAATTGTTCCTGTAACACGGTGCAACCCATGGACAAGGCAAGTCAACTGTGTCATATTTGGAAATATAACTTTAAGAGCAGTACAGGTTTTCATCATATAACTTGCGGCATCAATCACAAAGAGCAATACGCGCTCCTACTGAATGCCATTCGGCCATAGTAAATTCACGGAATTGATAAAAAATTCGGAAACTACGGAGCTATTAGTGGTTTCAAATTGCTCTACTGCAAGAAGATATTGGGTAGATTGTTCATTCTTATTAAGGGATCCAACTATACAATTTGCAATAAACCGTCCCTCACAATCATTCATCCAGCACTTTGCACTGTGTATACTTCTCTATGAAGTTTCTCAGAGTAGGATTGGTTAGTTTCCATAGCACAATATCTGCTGCTAAAAAGGCTTCACATACATCAAAGGAAAACTGTGAAAAACTATTATTAGAAAATTCACTAATCAATTTTTGAACAGGAGCTCTTTTCGTACTTTTAATTTTAATATTCTCTTTGTGTATATTAGTGTTCAAATGCTGAAGCACTTCAAAGCGTTTTTCACAACCGTGTTCTCACATGCCCGGCAATAAAGAATTTCGTTATCTGTACTTATCATCTCTCCTTCGAACTCCCGTTGATACAGCTGTAATTTAGTTTTCTGACTTACTTTCACTTTCAGCATGACTACAGAAAGCTAAACAAACTTAACTACAGACGAATCACCACTAATGTGAATGGCCCCCAGCTTCAAATGAAGAAGCATAACAAACCTCATGGAAACTTTGGAATTAAATAAGTGAAGTCCCTTATTGGTTGAATTGTATTACGTTGATAGCGGCTACATGTGAACGCTTCCGACTAATCTTTGATAGTACGCAGATGAGGCAACTTACGAGTAGAGGGACTGGGGAAGTCCCGTCCTGGGTATTGCATCAGAAACATAAATCATGACGAAATGTTGAGTCAAAAAATGAAACATATTCTAATACGGAAAAAAAAATTGTATACACACGACCATGATTGAAAATTTGAACATAAAATTAAAAAATATATACGATAAACATTTTAAAAAGGAAATATGCAGTATAAATCGGAGATCTTCGAAAATATGATGCTTATTCATAAAATAGTCAAAATATGCATTTATATGCATCATCAAACCATGTCCAAAATTGAAGACATGAAGAAATTCATACACATATCCAAACGAGCATACTTTCTGGTTGCAAGAAAGAAATATGCATTTGCATTAAAATCCAGTCCCTAGTTATGATTTACTGATGATAACTGATAAAAGTTTATGAAAACTGGCATGGCACCATTTTAAACATGTATCTACAACATTTTTTAAAATATATGAGACACATATTTATAAAGAAATGATTATGAAAGGATAGCAAATAGTGTACTGAAATATAATACAAACCAGGAAGTCAAAAGCATGTGTCAGCAGGACATACAGTCCAACTTTGGCTAAGGGATGAAATGTAAGTGTAAACATAATTTTTATGTATACACAGCTTCCAGTAAAGGATATTTATAGATTTATAAGGAAGTGAAATCAGCTGACCTGCTAACATGATGATGCTAGAATATGAAGGGGGTTACATTACAATGGCATTTTTAATCACCTTTTTGATGCTGAAGTAACTCTCGAAGTAATGTCACCATTACCAAGTTCATGGTCTCACTAAATGTCTTATAGGGGAAGATTTTCACACTCCCTGATACATACACATCATTTGCTTGATCATCCAGAAATGTAAGCATTTCTTTAGTTAACAACTTTTTGGCCAAGGCCAGTACACTCTGAAACAAACAACACTAATTAATAAACAAAATCCTGCTAACTCTTTAAAGCACAGTGATAACTGTGTGCACTATCTGCTTTAATATTCAAGAACTCTGCATTTGCCTGCAGAGTGATTTTATGGGCTCCATATGATTATCAGAATAAACAGCAATTAGTATTCTACAAAGCATAAACCAGATGATCTTTATAAATGAGATACAGTGTGTTTTCTTTTTGAAGCAGGAACTGAATTTTGAAATATAGGCACTCTGTAAACACATACTCCAGTTTCATTTGCATATCTAATTGCATAGCAAACATTACTTATTTGGTGTCTACAAGTTCAGTAGTCTAGGAAGAATGCGTTATTAGAATGCTAGTGTGAATCACGACACTCAAGGAAAAACAGATAAGAGGTCTCAGCTGACAGGTACAGTGCTTGGACCCGCCAGAAGACCACACTTTTCTCGGGCCATTATCGCCATAACCGTTCAACTTTGGACATAGGTGTTTTGGGTTATATCGACATACTTTAACATAACGAACACCCTCCCAAAGTTTGGCACATTCCTCCTGGGATATATAGATAGATAGACAGATAATAATAGGGTGAAGTTGTCCTTGTGCCTAATTATGCAAGCACTATGCCATGAAGGGATGTGGGTGTGGAAGTATAGCTCCACCATTCCTGACCTAGGCATGAGAGAAAGGTGAGTGCTCAGCTCCATGCCCCGGCCACTCTAACAATGGATACCCACTGGATAGGTGGTTGGGTGGGCCCCAGGGTCAGTCTGGGCACTATGGAGAACAGAAAAATCTTGCCCTTGCCAGGAATTGAACACTGGCCACCCAAACCATGGCTCATCACTATACCGAGTTATCACAATTCCTATTTTGATAATAATATAGAAATATATTTTGAGCAAAGAATATAAAAGTCATGTATCTGAATGACTTCAATATAATCTCTAATGTTCAGTCATATATTATATTACAAACGCAAGTGAAGAAAATTTCAAAATACTATCATGATATATGCTTGATCAAATATGAGGTAACACAGCTGAGGCTATGGCAAGAAGGTGTGGGGACCACATGTGTACCATTTCAGCTAATCTATTTCTCTCTGTGTCCCAAATATTGTGCTGTACCTGTAGATGAACTATAGAGAACTGAAGAATGGCCCTCTTTTCAGGAGATTCAGCAAACCTCATCTGTGGAAACTGGTTGAAGCTGGAACCATACTTGCTGAAGAAGTGCGTTGTGGCATCATATGGAACTGACTGGTAAGTTTGCAATGATGGACGCTTCGTCTGACCAACACTGCCAAACCATTGAAACACATATAACATACTATAAACTGACATCTTACATTTTCCTGCAAATAATCTCACATCTCATAGATGTTAAAACAGCTAACCAGACATGAAAACATTCACTTACTTCCTTACTCTCCAACCAGTTATGTTCACAGGTCGTGGCTGCGCCATAGCTCAAGCGATTAGTCGCTGGCTTCCCACTGCGGTGGCCCAGGTTCGATCCTGGGTCTGGTCAAGTGGGATTTGTGGAGGACAAAGTGGCACTGGGACGGGCTTTCTCTGAGTACTTCAGTTTCCCCCGCCAATCTTCATTCCACGAAATTCTCCATCATCATATTCACCTGGGGCAGGCTACAATAGGCCATCAGTGGCCACCGTGCCTAGCGGACCCAGTTGGACTCCAGCCTCCACTAAGCAAATTAATTATGTTCCAGGTCAGAGATGAAGCCCCCAGCTTAAAGACTGAGGATGTGATTATGCAGTGACAAGTCAGAGCTACTACACAATACAGATAATGAAGCAATGGTGCAATGATGACTACTGAGGGAAAATGAAGAAATTCTGAGATAAACTTTTTCTAGTACTGCTTCATCCACCAAAAAGCTCACATTAAGTCAAAGGGGAATGAACCCAAGGCTGTGTGGTGAGAATTCAGTGACTATATATGGCACAAACATGAACTGTTTTACTGACTATGGAATAAAATTAAATTACAGTTCAGAACAACTGTGGGCCTAAATTTCATTCTACCACTTTCCTTGCTTATCAACAAGAACAAATGAAGTAAACAGAGCAAGCAAGCTCTGTGCGTGTGATTGTGTATATTGTATGTATTGTGCACACGTGTCTGTGTATGTTTAACACCAACAATAATGAAAATACAACCTTAGCTACTTACAGAGGACATATGTACTGGAAGAGACACAAACTGGAATACTGGTATTAACATTTATTCTCCAGAAAGAGCAGATTTTAAATCCCCTGGTACTATGAGCTGAGAGACAAACCTTACCTCTAGTGTAATGGTATTATTAGCAAAAAGCTGCAATTCTAAGCCAACTAGACCATACCCACGTGCCATCAGAATAAGGGTCAAATAAACAGTCTTTTGTCTCAGCTCACTAAGTGTAAAGTTGTGTTAAGAAATGTGGTGGCAGCATGGAATTACTACAAAGTGAAATTCCTCTTGTAAGATTTCATTGGTAGGCAGTGGATTTTAATATTAAACTGAAGAAAATCTTACATGGAGATAATTTACCACTACGTTCACTGGCTCTGGATCTCTGAAACTGAACATTAAATCAAGAAATATTCAATGAGGGTTTCCCAGTACACAATCTTCTAGAAATGTAATATCCCAGTAAGTTTACAAGTGCATTTGACTGGATTCATTCTATGTCATATTTAGCATTCTTGTCCATAAATCTGTCATCTGAACAGAATACTGTCCTATATTAAAACTGGTTTTGCAAGTCTATGTTCTAACGAAAGATAAAAGGCAAACTTTTATACTGAAGTCTTTGTTGCAATGTTATATTACTTGGTTTTTGGAATCTTGCTAGTGATGATGTGCAAGGAGGATTATTACTTTGTTCACCAGTTCCACAGCTCTGTGCTTCAGTGCCCAATGCACCGCCAGCTGCGAGGCACATACAAATTTTGCTGATGAATTGACATGCCTCACAGTCGATACATTTGGAATAAGTAGTTACAATTCACAGATCATATGAGGTGTTGAAAGTGCTGTCCTCTACATGTAGAATACTTTTGCAATTGTTTCATTAAGAAATACAGGTACAACAATCCTTCTTGCACTTACAGCACACCACACACCAACTACCACTGGGTGGAGTGGAACTTCGTGGTTTAGATGTGGATTCTGTGAACTCCAGTAGTGATTATTTTGCGTAATTATGTATCCTGGCAAGTGAAATCACGTGTCAACAGAAAAGAATGTCAACTGCAGCTCAATCTCACCTTCAATGGCACACTGTAGAAACCAACTGCAAAAATGAACCCTGCTAGCTGGATCACATGGCTGCAAGGCTTGGATCACTGTTGTTTTACAGGGTTTAAGCTTCAGCAATTATATTGCAATTCTTGCACTAGACTTTGACACTCGAATCTCTTGAGCTAGATGTTTCAGTGGTTTTCTAAATGTATGTTCAAGTATTACCCCTTTGTCATCTAACTTCTCCTCAGTAAGGACTTGGCACCTATGTTTCTGTTTGTCTAATAAGAGTCAAACTGTTCTAAGTTTATTCACCAAACTGTCTGCTGGGAACTCTTTCATCATAAAATTTACATCAACACTTTCTAGCAGATCCGTATTTTACATAGGTGTCACACAGAAATACATGTTCCTCTTAAGTATACTGCACCATGATATACCACACTGCTCACTAACTGTAACTGAGAACAGATGGCTAATGGAGCTGATAACTGCTGCCTACTGCTGATAAATCATAAACAAACTCTCACGCATGAACCTCACTGCTCGCTGTGAAACATAATACCACCAAACGGTCTCCAAGTTAATTACTTCCCTTCACTTCAAACATTACTGGCCATACGGCCTGCTGATTCATCAGCAAAATTCAAATGTGCATCATGGCAAGTAGCATACCAGTTTCCATGAAGTGATCAACAAAGTTAAAAAACTCTCTATATATTAAAAACCTTAAAAAATATTACAAATAACAAGATGCTGAATATATGCTAATTTTATACATTTTTCATCTACTTGGAAATTTAGACTCTCAAAATTCACAAGATACTTCCTGCAGAATAAATGTTATTCCCTTCCACCACTACCAAAGAAGAAATAGTGCTGAACAGTCTAATTCCTTTGCAATCTGGAGTGTTAGCTCTAAAATTAAGTTACTTATTAGATGAAAAAAAAAATCATGCATTCTGAACACCTTCACACCAAACTATGAACTCTGTATGCATGCAGAGATACAAAAGCATGAAGCCTTCACCCAACATGGTTTAACTGATCCATAGAAAACAAGGCGTTTTACAGAGCAATTCAATACTTAAAAACATTGAAAACGAGGAGCTTTTACAGAGCAATTAAACACTTATAAACATTTCAACAAACTATGATCTTGCAGTAACCTAAAGGCAACCAAAAACAGCACAATGCTCAAGAGATTTAACACATTCAAGGACATTCAAAATCTTAATGACCACCACAGACAACTGGCAATATTTAAGTAGTAATGCAACAACTGCCAGTAATGATGACAAACAGAGGCTCCTAAGAACATCTAAAAGAACCTAAAACCACAAAGGAACATGTACCAAAACATCCATTAATCCTCATGAAAAACCGATTAATTTTCAGACCATAATAAATCTCTTTGAACATAAAACCTGTACTCACAGAACATCAGTAGAGTCCACACTGCTGAGGGACACAATGTCAAGAGATGGCAAGTTGCCCGACAGAGACCGAGGTATGATAGACCTATAACACATGTCATGTGCCATCATTTTCTGACAGCACATCCATTCAGGTGCATCCAACTGTATAGATATCTAGTATCCTGAGACTACAATCTAAAAGAAAAAATCTGCACGATTATGAAATATGTTTTCCTTATGACACAGAATATACTTAGTGCTAACATGAGTATAAATTCTCTCTCCCTTCATTAAATCTAACACACCTAATGCAACTCTATGCAACCAAGTAATATGCACAATCTACAGTAAAAACGTTGGCTATTCAGAAAGTAACTTCTGGTGAGCTGTTAATAAAATAAGCAATTAGAAAAAAATTATTATATAGAAAAAATACATACATGCTTCAGCTACTTCTCAATGTAATCATCACCAGAACTGAGGCATTTGCCGTATCAGGGAATAAGTTTTTGTATGCCTGTGTCAAAGAAGTCTGCCACCTGTTAGCTCAGCGACGTTTAGATACCTTCTATCAGCTCCTCATTATTGCTGAAGTTCTGTGATTTCCAACCAGTTCTTCAGGTAGGCAAACAGGTGATAGTCGTTTAGAGTGAGATCATGGCTTTAAGGAGGGTGGTCAAACAACTCCCAGTTGAAATGCTCCAGCAGTGCTTGAGTGTGAGCAGCTGTATGTAGCTGCACATTGTCATGAAGGCGCACTAGAGTGAATGGCACCATTCCATGCATTTTGTTCTGAATGGCCCTACACAGTTGTTTCAGTGTTTTGCAATACACATCTGACATTATCATGGTCCCTCGCTAAATGAATTCCACCATCAGTGGAATCATCCAGTCCAAGATGACAGCTGACATCAGCTTTCTGCCAATGTCTGTTTAAACTCTTTTGGATTCTTTGGTAAATGTGTGTGCAACTACTGCTTTAACTGCTCTTTGGTTTCAACATTCATAAATGAAACCCAGGTTTCATTACCTTTTACTCGTATGATGTGACTGAGAAATTTGTTGCCATCTTTGTGATATCATTCTACAAAAAATTAAAGCTAAAGCCATTCTCTGCATTTTGTGCATACCTGTTAGCATTTTCAGAACCCACCTTGCACAAACATTGTGACAGCCTAGCCTAACTGTGATAATGCTGCAGAGAAGAGAGCATGAAATTTGTGAATTCACATAAAATTAATAAAATTGTGAAGGGATGTCTTTCACAGAATTTTTGGTGAACACTTTCAACAAGATCATCACACATTACAGACAGCTGAACATTTCACTCTTCACCGTGAACATTTGATGGCCATTCCTTGAACATTCTACACCACTGTCTTAGTTTCTTCACTATCACATTTTGGCCATAAACCTTTGTGCATAACTGATGATTAGGGCCTGGAGCTTTATGCGCTAACCACTTAAAATATGTGCTAAAAAGCGGGAAAATATGCACCAAAAATAAAATAATATGCACTTAAGAAGCAGGTCACTTTATTCAGACTCACCTATTTACATGTATCATTCACTGCAGAAAGTAGCATCACAATAGGCAACTAGAAGTCTTTCAATGTTTTCTGGAGACAAACTACATCTATTGTCCGTCAAAATGAGTTTATAGGCTGAGAATGATATTTCTACATCAACTGACATGATTGGACAGTATTTATACACTGGCGCCAAAGATTCGGAACATTCATCTGGCAAAGATACCCTAATCACACTCAAGTACTGACTAATTGACTGAATCTTTTTTAGTCCTGTGTTCGAATTCAACACCATTTCTAACTTGCATTTAATCTTGTCTCCAATTTTGCCTAGTGCGAAATTCAGTGAACAAGTTGCTTTCTGAACGAGTTCAAGTGAGTTGTGAAGGAGTGCACCACAAGATTCTAAGCTCTGAATGGCTTTTGAAACTGTAGAAAAATGTGCACGGATAAAATTCACATCATGATAGACAGTATCAATATATATTGTCGATTTCCCTGTTTGTTATAGTAAATAAGGAATTATTCACATTCAACTCACAAATGCATAATTGTAGTACCAGATCTATCTGTGATATGCATTATCCGCAAACTAGTCTAACACAATTCCAAAAAGGAATATGTTACATGGGGGTAAAGATCTTTAATCATTTGCCACCAAAAATCAAATCTATGTCTAATGACTTGAAAAATTTTAAAATTCAGTTGACAACATTTTTATTGCAAAACTCTTTTTATACATGTGATGAATTCTTTAGTAACAAATTTGCCTAGAAATAAGGATAATAACATAAACAATTTTAATATTGCATAATTTTATGTATAGTGATGTAAGACTGTAAATTTAACACATTTTTTTTTATCTATTATAATGATTATAAGTTGTACATATATATTTATAATTGTATTGTACTATATTAACTATGTGACTGGTTCTGTATCTATGTATATGGATTTATGGAATATACAATGAATGAATGAATGAATGAATGAATGAATGAATGACTTCCAAACATCACTTTTGCTTCACGGACACGTGCACTCTCATCTTCAAGTTTTGTAACCACTTCTTTTACTTGATTGAAATTCTCCTGATAAAATGAAACTGTGGATAACCATGTCCTCCACCTACTTAGGACAGGTTCAGGTGGCAGAGGAACCTGAGGCAGGCAATCTTTGTAGAACTGGACACAAGCTGGTGCTTGTGAACAAGTTGCTTTCTGAACGAGTTCAAGTGAGTTGTGAAGGAGTGCACCACAAGATTCTAAGCTCTCTATGGCTTTTGAAACTGTAAAAAATGTGCATGGATAAAATTCACATCTTGATAAACAGTATCACTTCCAAACACCACTTTTGCTTCACGGACACATGCATTCTCATCTTCGAGTTTTGTAACCACTTCTTTTACTTGACTGAAATTCTCCTGATAAAATGAAACTGCAGATAACCATGTCCCCCACCTAGTTAGGACAGGTTCAGGTGGCAGAGAAACCTGAGGTAGGCAGTCTTTGTAGAACTGGACACAAGCTGGTGCTTTCAGAAACATTTTTTCCACTTGCAATTAAATCGTTAACAGCTGGAAACTGTGGGTGTATTTTCTGCAATACAGTGTAATCCATGAGCTAAACAGGTTACGTGTATAAGATTTGGATAAAATACTTGTAAGGCCTTTGCTGCTTTCAACATATAGAAAGCTCCATCTGTGAGTAATACAAGCATTTTACAACAATTATTCTCAGTTTCAGATGGTGATAGTAGTCACAGAGAATCATTTACAAACCTTGCTATTGTGCTACGGTTGGTTTTCTCTAGTACTTCGCAAGCAAGAAGATGAGGTTTACTGGGTTCGTCTGGATGTAGCTTAACAACTATGAAATTTGCTATGTATCGGCCACATAAATCAGTTGTCTCATCCTTAATTATCCTTAATTTCAAACATATATGCAGAAATAGGCTCTTACGTTTAGTATATGCAATAGTGACCAAAACCCCTCAAAATACGCATTTGCGTATGCATTTTCAAAAAATCCAGGCCCTACTGATGATGGATTTTCTGCAGCACTCGTGTTTTTATCATGAAGACAGAGAATAACAGTATGAATTTCGCAGCTGGTGAGCTCATCGATCACAGGACTCATCATAACTCATTCTGCAGAGATGAGGACAAACATTAGGTGGCCAGTTATGTGATGGCTTACAAGGCAATAAGTCATGTGATGCTACCTCACATGCACAAACTCTCTCTCTCTCAGTTGTCTAAAATTAAAGGAGGTTACTTTCCGAATAGCCCTAGTAATTTCAAACACAGATATTTTTTGGATTTTTTTTCATACACAAAACAAGCAGAAGTACCATTTTCTTTTTCTGAGATATGGTGGCCTCCCTTGACAATGTCACAATATATACTAGCTAAAACTTTAAAGAAAAGATTCTCAAATGAGGAAATTACGTTTGCCGATGTAATTAAGAAAAAGCTGGAATTACGGATTTGAAGAGATATAGGATTATACCAAATCTTGCAGTCAAATAGTAGCATTCATTATTTGGGAGGTTCTGGGTTAATATCTTAGACCAGTGATCAGCTATTCTAACTGCAGTTTCTCTTGTTTTCATTAGTCCCTCAATACAAATAAATGCTGCGATAATAACATAAATTTGGCTATAGCCACTCCATTCTGTTATTCACAAACCATCCTCTGTTCTTTGTTATACAGTCCGAGTTACTTATAGAATCATTAAATTAACCACGGATAAAATAAAGACAACTTCTATGGCTGAAGATCATAATTCTACAAATTTGGATTGCATAAATTAAGAAATCTGCAGCTGAAACTCGTGCAAGCAGAACAAGGAAATAACAGCTTAGCTGGGGTTTCCAGTTGGTCCAAGTAGATCAATGTTTTCCTTCAAGGTACTGAATATTCAACATCACTACATCACAGATGTACTATTTGTAAAAGACATCCATACAACAATTTATCATAAGAGGAAGAATAAAACTGGTTGAACAGGCAAAGCATACATACAGTTTCCTTTATGAATAAATAACTGTATTTGGCATGCATACATAGGAACTAAACATGTGTGTGCTCCCCCCCCCAAACAAAACTAAGGAAAATCAGATCATTGCAGGCATGTCATGGTTACATCTCATAACTGTCCAATTTGTCTGGCTACTTCTGAAGTCGTCACAGTTTGTCACACTGTTAAATAAGTAGTGTAAAAAATATAGATTCATAACTCTCACTGACCCAAAAACATTCTAATCCTATATATTAACAATGTTCCTTTGAAACAATCAACAGACATGTTGCAATAAAATACAATAATGTGTGAGAAAGTATTAGAAAACAAAAGACAAACAGCAGAATGGACCATTGTTTCAATAGGTTTTACCAGTAGTTGACAAAATGACACATGTCTCTGAATGTTTTTGTTTGTTATTGAAAATATGTTTTCCACTTTCATATGAACATTCTATCATATTACACAAAACAGGACCCTAAAGACAAGGCCATCAACTCTACTGGTTCTGGAATACATATTTCTGGAAATAAGAACAAGGCCATTGTCCTTCAGGTACTTTAAAACTTAACTTCAATTAGAGCTTAAATTTACTTATAAACAAATGCCAGGAAATGACAAAATCTTTCAGATGGAATCTAGTTTTGGAGTACTTATTACTGGATATCTAATGTCTTGAAACAAACAAGACAATGTGTATTCCACATAATTCTATATCTAACACATTTTATTTCTACAATAAGGAGAGATACTGACAGCTTCTTTAAACAAACCACAAATAAATAAATACACAGTAAGGATATATAAAAGAGAGATTATCATCACACACAGCCAAAATTAAAAAATGTTAGACTTTATGTATGTTGCACTGTGGGAGGGGGGATGAGACAAGAAAAGAAACTGTAGCTTTCTAAAATCACTAACATAACAAAAATGATATCTCTAGCCTAGGGCTATTCTAGAGTAAATTTAAGAAACTGATGAACCCTTTTATACATCCCTGAAATCACTGTCACTACAAGTAGAAAAGAAAGATTCTGCAACTAGAGGAAATGATCACAGCATTACAATTCCAAGGCTTCCTTATCCAAATGGTAAGTTCCATTTCAACTACTGTATTGTCTTCTTTTTTTTTTCCTTGGCACTACAGCCCCAGTGGGCCTAGGCCTACCTCCATGAACTCCGTTCACTTCGGTTTTTCTAGATCTTACACATACGGCAGGACTCCTTGGGCGAGTGATCAGCTCGTCGCAAGGCCTCTACCTGTAGACAACCACAGAAAAACGCACACAGACATCCATGCCCTGAGTGGGACTCGAACTCACAATCCCGGCTTCCGAGCGAGCGATGACAGTGCATGCTTTAGACCGCTCGGCTACCGTGGCCAGTGTATTGTCTTCTGGCCAATAATAATTTTATATGGTTAAGTTAGCCACAAAAACAAGAGGGTTACAAAATTCCATATTTGCTATATTAACATCAAATAATTTTTCTTAAATATGAAGACAATTACATGGAATCATAAAACATATTAAAGAAAAAAAGCAATAACAAAAGTTCATCATAGGTTAACAGCCACATCACATTCCCAATTCATTTTAAAATAACAGTTATGGCACTCACATGCAACACTGAAACATAATGATAAAAATAGTAAAGTCACAGCATTCACAGCACCACTGCCAATCATGCAAATGTCAATGAATATTACGCAGGCTCATCTTGTAATCAAACAAAAGGCAAATTAAACAATACTCTCAAAAAAGAGTGAGTTAAATGGTTGTGAAAGACTTCATCCTGAAAGAACTAATACTGGAAAATATTCAGGGTAAAATATAAGTCAATCCCTCATTTCTGAGACCAGATGCTGAAAACTTTGATTTTTAGAAGCATGAATTTGTTTGCAGACAAATGTGCATTAGATGAAACACCTATCCGAAATCAGACTGAAATAATACGTGTACATTTTAAGTAAACATGGAAACTGTGATAGTGGTGAAACATTAAAATAAAGAATACAGCAATTTCATCATATGAGGCTCATATTACTACTTTACTGATCTAGTTTTCAACAAAAAAATCCACACAGTGTTAGAATGCTATACAATGCTTCTATTATATTTAGCCTCTGAAACTTGTTTATTGTGCACATTTATAAATAATTCTATTTTTAAAGCCAAATTTTAATTTCACAATTAATGTATGTATCTTAAAACCACCACCACCTTTCAGGGTCCAAACCAATTTTATCCATGTAAATTTTTTAAAGCAAATTTATAAAATCAGAGTAAATGAATGAGCAGACAAGAAAATGAAATGGAAAATACATTCTCTAGCTAAAATTACTGAAACATACTCTTGCATGATTATCATTTGCTCTAAATTGATATGGTTTTATTATTTGGAGAGTACTATCTTCTGGGACATAATGTCATGTAGTCTGTTGAAAGCCAACTGATATTCTGTAGGTACAGACCACCTCCATCTTCAGGGTTGAATAATAAACCGAGCAAGAAAGCAGCATGAAAGCAGGTTGGCTTATTATTTGACCCTGAAGCTGGAGTTGATATGTTCCTCTGAAATGCTGGTTGACTTTTAACGGACTACATGGTGTTATATCCCAGAAGATTCATGACCACCACTGTGAAAACCTCAAATCCTATGTTTTGTTATTTATTCACATTATTTATTTTTCTGTATTGTACAGATGGAGGCAGCAGGTTCATTCAGAACATCACTACATTTTTACAGCCTATACGTATAGAAGACCACAATCTTCATATTCGCTACTGTGAGAACATCAGATCTCACAAGGCATTGGTGAGTTCATAAACCAGGGAACCAGAGTTAGTGTACCTCTCACATCATAGAATTCAATAAACCATTTTGCAATATAGGAAAGTATTTTTATTTGGTTCTTCAAGCAGGAGTTAATGGGTTTATATCACTTAAATCCATACTTTGACAAGAAGCTTTAGTCTCTCTCACCAAATTTAATCAAAATCCAGAAATGTTTCAAGCGCTGAAAGTCACAGTGGATGGATTAATATGACACTCTATTTATGTGCATAATGAGTATCTTACAGTGCTCCCATCAAAGGAATGCATTCTGAAATTATGATAAATGAAATCTGACTCACTCCATGAAAGAAGCATATATGATTAAATATACTTTTCTGCTTCATCAACTTTAGGCCATAAAGGCAGACCAATAAATAACCCATTTTGACCTCAGGATTACATCCATCTAGTAGCCTCTTTGAAGGTCATCCATGTTTTCATAATCAGATTGTTTAATAGTTGAAACACTGGTTTGGATCTCTTATGCCATTCAGCTTTCTAACACGATCTAATCACTTTTGTCTGTAGTGTGCTAATTTGCTTTCTGATTAGGGTTAATGTAGATTCTTTTAAATTTAACTTGCTTGTACCTATGCACAGAAACTGGCCATTGAACTTTCCTCTATACAACTGACTACAAGAAGCTGGAAACTTTAATATTAAGATCCCACTGCATGCAACACATTACACTTAATGGCAACCACCTCTTTGAGGCATTCTGTAGCATAAACGCTCTGGTCAAATGCATGCCAATTTCATCCTACATCATTCCATTATCAACAATTTTAAGAACTTCCTGACAATAAACAATATCTAAATATACATTCTTGCATGAACAATGTCACAGTAATTTATTATTACCTCATGAACTGACCTGAAATTTGAAAAGCTTCTTTTTTTGTCAAGCTGGCCAACTTCACTGCATGTAGCAATGGGTATTGGTGGCTCCGGTCTTGGAAATATGCGGCATAATAAAGGAGGATCACTAGTACAAAAGCGACCCATTGATCTTGCAAGACCAATGAGAATTGGTATTGTTGATTTGCATAATGTTACTGAAATAGGTAAACAAATATGAAAAACCATCATTAATGTAATTTTGAGGCTCAAGAAGTTATGTCCATTCAACAGTTATTTCACAGGCATGCACATTTAATGATGAACTGAATCTTAAATATAAAAAAAAAACAAAGAACATGTGAAAAATGAATCCCATTCACAGTCAGAAATATTTATTGCTTAATGTTCACAAATTATTTGCAATTTTTTTCTGATGCATTTATCTTTGTTCATGTTTAATATGGCATCACATGGGTCAGACACTTTGGGCAATGTTGTGGCAACTCCAGAATGCAGGTCCACAATTATTATTTTTTTTATTGCTAGTGGAGTGGAACAAAGTCCCTTGTACTGTGGCCACTTCTGGCCTACTGTATCAGCCCCAGATAATAGGTGAGGGTGATTGTGGAGCACTTGTGGAATGAAGATTGGTAGGGGAAACCAAAGTACTTGGAGAAAACCTGCCCCAGCACCACTTTGTCCACCACAAATCCCACTTGACCAGACCCGGGCCACTGAGGTGGGAAGCCAGTGACTAACTGCTTGAGATATGACATGGCCTAGGTCCACATCTAACAATGTAGTTTTGTAATATATGGATAGAAAGAAAGACAGAGAGAGAGAGAGAATGAACAAAAAGACACATAATGGATTCGCCAACATACAATGTTAATATCTGTTTAATATTACAAACATCCACATTCTCCCTCAAAATAGCTGCCTTTGACTGCTATGCAAGTCTACCAATGTTGGTATAGCTGCTGGAAACACTGCTGAAAGATATTTGCAGGAAGGTCCTGTACGGCTTCCCTTGTGACAGTGACAATCTCAGCCGACTGAAATCAATGTCCACATAGCTTTTCTTCCAAGTGGAGAAAGAAAAAGAAATTGTAAGGTGTGAGATTAGGTAAGTATGAAGGTTCTGGCAGAACAGTGATCTGTTGTTCTGCCAGCTCCACTTGGACAAGCACTGAGTGATGTGCAGCAGCGCTGTCATGTAGCAACAGCCAGTTCTTCCTGCGCTCAAGCTCAGGACACAATGAACTGAACTGCATAGATGATGAAGGATCTCCTTGTAGCAGTGCTTGTTTATAGTTGCTCCTTCTGGATAAATTCCATGTGAACAATTCCAGATGAGATGAAAAAAAGTTCAAGCATTACCTTGCCTTTTGACCTGTCCTGTCATTGTTTCCTCTTTCTTGGCGATGATGGCGACTTCCAGGTGGTCGATTGTCGCTTCAATTGTGGATCATACAGAAGACACCATGTTTCATCACCTGTTATGATCCAGTTGAGAAATGTCCCATCCTTGCCATCATTATCGATCAGGTCACCACAAATACTCATGCAATCATCATGTTGGTCTTGTGTCAGGACGTGTGGAACACTGCTGAGTAATGTAAGACAGGTTCAGATCAGACAGAATTTTGTGGCAAGTACCATGGCTAATCCCTGCTGCTGCAATTTCACCAACCTTTTGGGAGCAGCTGGCATGCATCAATGCTGCAATTTCTTGGATCTTGAGTTCAGTCCTGATTGTTCTTGGCTGACCAGCATGCTCATCTTCAAAATTCTCTCTCCCCTGTGCAAAACGTTTGTACCACTTAACCGCTCAGCGTGGTTTGACGTGTGTTTCATCAAGGTATTTAAATCGTCTGCGGGGGTTCGACGTCTATGTATCGTCCAGCTGCACACCTATGTTATAACGCCCATAATAATTAATGGTTTTGCTGTAGATTGTTAGATTTTTCGCTGGCCTGTTGTCAGAAGAACAATATATAATGAAACATGAGTTTAGCTGCGTTAAGTCATCGTTACATATGCCTGTCTTGCAGCAAAATCCTGATGCTCTTGGAAGAGATTTCCTCATTCAAACTGTTATGAATGGCGTGTTTTCTTTCCTATGAAGTTATAAACAGCAGAGACTGATATGTGCTGTGTTTATAATATCATATTGCCCTGAGCTGGCCACACTAACACACTCAATTAGAATTCTTAGAAGAGGGATGTCCAGAAGTTTATTCTTGCAAGATCCATTGATTTCGCACAGTACATAGCAGCCAGTTCTTAGAATAACGTCACGAATTAAGGCAGAACACTGTGGTCACCCCCAACGATACGGGTGTGTGTGTGTGGGGGGGGGAAGAACTCATTCCTTCATGTATTATCACTCCAGTTGACTCCATTTTATCGTACTGACCTTGGTGGTCGTTTCGAGGGATGACCATAAATATTTTTTTGAGCCAGCTAAGCTCTGCTTTCGTGCACTACATACCAGCCAGTTCTTAGAATAACTTCATGAATTCTGTGGTCACCCCTATGACATCTGCTGAAGCCAAAATGGATGGAATATGAAACGCATAGCACCAACCCCTTGTTATGACAACATAAAGGTTGAATTTACTGCAGCTGATCTGGCAAGCTAAACGACTCATGGTAAGACATTTCCTCGTATTCCCCCTTTGGGAAGAAGGCAATACCGCACAGAAGATGTGTGGTTTACGGAAAAAAGGGCCAAATGAAAGATACGCAGTATTGGTGTGGTGAATGTGAGACAGCGTTGTGTATAGAAGAATGCTTCAATGCGTACCATACACTGCTCAAATTCTAAAACACCTGCTTCCATTGCCGAGATACCGGGTGCTCATATTATAAGGTAAGGTTATAAAAACCATCTTTTAAGATCATTTTAGTGAAAGTTTCATGCTTCAAGGCGTACCATACACTGCTCAAATTCTAAACCACCTGCTTCCATTGCCGAGGTACCGGGCGCTCATATTATAAGGTAAGGTTATAAAACCATCTTTAAGATCATTTTAGTGAAAATTTCATGTTCCTATCTCATATAATTTAAGAACAATGATGAATAAATCATTTTCGAGCAAAATTTAAATGGTCGGCTGTATATATTACCGCCAGAGAGACACGGCAGCGGAATTTAAATGACCGCGCGAAAGGGTTAAATCACAGCACAACAGCCCAAGGCTTCTTTGCTGTACACTTGCTTGATCACATGAAACATTTCACTAGCGGATCTGCCTAATTTTTGGCATAACTTGACATTTCCCCATTGCTCAAACTGTGATATTCTCGATTTCTGTCACTCACAGACAACTACCCTTCACAACAGTTGCTTTCTTTCTGAATACACCACATGCACACAACTGCTTCTTCCTGGGATGAGAGGAGAATGGGCACAATGCCATCTCATGGCTCCACGGATCTGCTGTAGTGCACAACAGTGCCACTATGTGGCCAATCCACGAAATTATTGACTGTACAAAGTAAATTACATTTAGATGTCATCCTTGATCCAGTATCATGCATACTTCTCAAAGATATTATGATATATAATTTCAGTACTCAGCATTAAATGGTTCTAATGTCACTCCTACTTCACAAGTTTGTACGTCGCCACGTTATCATTAACAACTGTAAGAAATTGAAAATTATGCAGTTTGGGTGGCTTCCAATGGCATAACATTCATACCAAATTGTATACTGTATTGTATTCATACAAATTTGTATGCGTATTTTCATAACAAATGGTTAGTAGAATGTGTGTGGTTGAATCAAGTACCTGATGATAATTCTATGGCATATAATAGGTATGTAAAAAATATGCATATATCTTACAGAGGAGAAAATCACATTAACAAGCATGTTTCTGGTTCACAGCGCTTTTACTTTGCAGTAATAATTATCACACATAAACTACAGTTAAACTGCTATAAAAACAAAAATTTGGACGTGGAAAGGTGATCATCCTAATCTCATAGGCCCGCTATCTTCCTACAGGAAAGAAACATAGGATAAAAAATACTGAGAGCTAAAACCATTAAACATAAATTAAAAATGTATACAGGTCCACATAATAAGAAACAAATTGGGATTCTATTGTACATCATTTCTTCCCATAGCACAGGACTAGCATTGCTTGTATTGAAAAATGAAAGGTGAGCCTACATTTGGCTGTAGAGCCACGAGGGGTGTTCTGATCTTTGTAGCTGCGGCACAAGTTTGCAAGTACACCAAGGAAGTCAACCTGAGCTGAGATAATCTCTTCTCGGACTGGTTCACACTTGGTAGCTATGTCTGACAGAAGAGTATTAAGGCAAAAACTGAACCTCTCTGCAACTGGAATTCCTACAAAACAGAAAAACATGTATTTACTATCACTTAATTACATTCTTCAGAATGGAATATAATCACAGTGTTATGGCTTTTATCAAATGCAAAATGAACAAATTAGAAGACATATGCCTACACAGAAATTCTGGCACATTAAAGTTGTTTTGTTTAATTATCTCAACATTCATAATTTATAGAAAATTGTACTAGACATAAATTGTGTTTCAGTTTTATTTACAATATCTGTTCAAAACATTTTTCACTCTGATAAATATTTGGAAAGTTACACTACAGATGCACATAGAAACAGATGTAGGTCTCTATACCACGCATCAATATTAGCATTGCCCAATTTTCATCAAAAATTGGAATGTGCCAATAAATTTTTGTGAAATGCCCCAATACCAAATTTCACGAAAACTCCATTATGTGGTTCCCGGGTTAATCCATGCAAAAAGACAGACATGTGTTGTTTTGGACTCTGGACAGTCATATGATAAAAGAGGACTAAGAGTAGAATCTTAACGGATTCCATATTTAACAAGCGGCTGTTAGAGAGATAACTATTCTTTGATTCACATAAGCCTAGTCACACTTTCAAATGCCCACAAAATATATGTCATATACATCTTTGAAAAAACTGTCTAAGTTACTGGTTGTTGCATTACTTTACAGCCCAGTTCTTCTGAATCCAATGGAGATTTTGCCAACTAAATTACAGCAGACTGCCATGCATCAAAACAGAGGTAAAAGTCAGTAGTTGATAAAATCCATCGATCCTGAGGGGTTTACTGTTATTTTCTTGGTCCAATGTGTGATACTTTCATAATGACATTGTGTAATTATCAGAAAAACTGTAATTATGTTTATTAGAAATTGATCCTATCACATCTGAGTCTAAGAGTGGCTCACTATCACACACTTGGTCAAGTATGTCCTGCTTTCACAGAAATGTTTGTAATTATCGGACAAACTGAGATCTCATTAGAAACTGATCATAATTTCAGAATCATTACAAAACAGTAATGTGATGCTGTATAGGCAAGAATAGCATTTTGCCTCTACTGTTGTGACTGGAGCTAGCTGTCTCGGCTGTAAAATAGCATGAAGTTGATGAGTCAAAACTATGGCATCAACAAGCAGAAAGTGGTCAGCTGTTGTATCTGAAGAACTGGAGGAAAAGAAGTGGCAAGTGATTGTAAAGAAACTTGATTAATTAGGCTCTCACAGTGCTAATGAAGTCAATGACTCTGTTCTTCATGATACTCCTGAATATGATGGGTACTTATTTACTCATGGAGCTGAGCCCTTCTGGAGGAGCCACCAATTCTGCAGCTACTCAAGAATTTCCCAGCATTTTATGGAATCCAAAAGTTCATTCATTCATTCATTCATTCATTCATTGTTGGAGGAGGTGGGTTTCCCCATGCACTTAGACCAGTTATTGGTAAATTGTGCATCCCCCTTTAATTTCTACTGTCTCCATACCCTACTGGTACTGGTGACCGTTATCAGCTCCTTTCTGCCAGCGAGGTCCGCCCTCTACTGGCAGTGGTATCTGATAATTAGTCCCTTTCTGTCAGCGAGGTCGGTCCTCATCTGGCAGTGGTACCTAATACTTTCCCCATCTACCAGAGTCACTGGAAACTACGTGGGCGGGGAAATTTGCCTAATTTAGCTCAGAGGTCTCCTGGAGACATGAGGTTCTTTTACATGCCATAAATCTACGACACGGGACCCACGGGTTAAAGTCCCTCCCGGAGGACTTGTTCCCTGAATTTTTTCAGCCCTTAAAAATTCCACGACCTCCACCAGGTTTGAACCCGCGTACCTTGAGTCATGAGGTGGGAACGTTACCCCTAGACTATGGAGGCCGCTTAATCCGAAAGTTAATTACTGTGTTCACAAGAGTCCTCAACTGGTCCCTATCCTGAGCCAGGTCTATCCAATCCATACCATCCCATCCTATCTCTCTAAGATCCATTCTAATATTGTCAACCCACCTATGCCTTGGGCTTCCCAGTGGTCTCTTTCCTTCTGGCTTTCCCACCAATATCCTATACACATTCGTCTCCCCCATTCGCGTTACATGACCTGCCCACCTCATCCTCCTTGACTTGGATCATTCTAATTATACTTGCAGAAGAGTACAAGTTATGAAGCTCCTCATTATGCAGTTTTCTCCAACCTCCTGTCACTTCATCTCTCTTAGGTCCAAATATTCTCAACATGCTGTTCTCAAACACCCTCAGTCCATGTTCCTCCCTTAATGTCAGAGACCAAGTTTCAGACCCATACAGAACCACAGGCAAAATTATAGTTTTGTATATTCTAATTTTTGTTTTCGGACAGCAGATGAGAAGACAAAAGGTTCTGGACTTAATGGTAGTAAGCATTACCTGAGTTCAATCTCCTCTTAATTTCCTCATGATGGGTATGTAAGATGATGAACAGGATATCATTTGGAGAGCCATGAAAAATTACTGGGGTCAAAGAGAAAATGTTCCTGGCAGTATGCAACCAAATGTCCTTATGTAACTGTAGAGACTGTTGAGTTTTTTCAACAAAGAACTTGTGCAAATAATATGACTAGAGACAAACAGATACAATCAGTAATTTCGGTGGGATGCCACTCAGAAGCAAGAGCACACAGGAAGTTTGTTGTCTCAAGCACGGTAAAAGGGAGGGCACTATTTACTGGTGTGTGTCTTAAAACATTTTAAGATTTACCACATCAAACTTAACTACATGACAAGAAGTTCCGGGAAAAACTAATCGCCTACTACCCTTTCATATGACACAGAACACCAAAAAAAGGATGTGCCAAACAATTCTTCTACTGTTGCGTGTGTATTTATTGCCATGGTAATTTTTTTACAAAGCCCTTACCTAGCAACTATAAGGAAATACATACATAGACAGACTGATGGGAGGCATTTATGAAGTATGCTGTTGAAATTGGCTCAGGTTCAGGCATTCAAAAGTTGATGGGAGGGGATTCACAGACATGCAGACACACAGACAGCATTACGAATTCATAAGGTTACTTTTCTTCTTTCAAAATAGGAAAATTATAAGGGAAAGTTAGTAAATAGGTCACAAATTGATCTAAATGTAAACCACGTGACATTTGAACTTGAGAAAAACATTTGTTTTTGACATCCATCACTTTTCCAGTGTGCTGAAACCCACAACATAGAAATCTTTTGCCTGTTGTCTCTGCCACTTCTGCACTTGGTCAGGCATCATCCGTGGCTTTTGAATGTCCCTGAGAGAATTTCTGACCCATTTGTGAACTGATTTACATGACAAACACTTCCCACTATAAACATTAAACATTTCTTTATGAATATCCTTTGCATTATGTACTTTTACCCATAAAAACCCCACAACAGAACGCTGCTCTCTGATAGTACACTCCCGAAACATGGTCACCATTTTGGCTACTGAAACCAGCCTCTGAACATGTGCATGTGTGTCGGCTATCTAGATTGTCATGAAGCTGGACTGTGCTACTACCTAGTGACACACAGAACACCTACTATGTTCTTTACAGCTGTTTTACTTCCATTTGTGGTCTATTTACTGACCCTCCCTTATATGCTTATAAGACCCTTTGTCTCCCACAAATCATTGAGGATGACTCACTACTCCTATTTTCATGCAGTTATGTCATATGGTATAATTTTCTGGGGGAATTCCTCTCATAGTAACAACATATTTAAACTGCAAAAAAGGGTCATAAGAATTATTACAAATTCTAGAAATAGGGACTCCTGTAGGGATCTGTTTAAGAAATTAAGAAATATTACTGATTTACTCTCAGCATATATTCTCATTATTAACCTTTGTAACTGATAATATTTCCTTATTTAAAATAAATTCGGAGTTATTTGATATTAATACTAGAAGCAAAAATAATTGTTACTGTTCACAACCAAGGTTATAAATTTATATAAATGGTGTTTATTACATGGGTATAAAGGCATTTAATCACTTACCTTCTTACATAAAAAAATTGTTAGATGATAAGAACCAATTTAAAAATAATTAAAAAATACCTTCTACTAAATTCTTTTTATTCACTGGAGGACTTTCTTAATAGTAAATACTAATCTTAATGTTATATTTTTATCCATATGTTTTATGCATCATAAGGTGCATTATTTTTGCATAAGATATACAGGGTTAGCCTAAAAGAAATACACTTACAAAGTTTTACAGAAAGAAGAGTTTTAATAGCATGGCCAAGATACTTACATGGTTTGAAAAGTACGCCCTGAAGTTAACATGGGTACAGCTTTTTACAGGATACAACACAAAAAATGTTCACTTTAGGTGAATCCCTCACATGCTCTACTACAGCTCTCGGGTTTTCAGTTCCCCATATATGAACGCTGTGTTTGTTCACCAGACCACTAATGTGGAACGTTGATTCGTCACGGAAAACTAGCTGGTTAAAGAAATTACTTCCTTCATTCCATTGCTGCATGTCTATATAGAATGAGTGACGGAGTATTTTGTCGTTTTCAGTGAGGTTCTGCAATAATTGCAACTGGTAGGGGAACAGTCGTAAATGTTTACGCAAGATATTCCACACAGTCTTTGTGGAATGTGAAGTTCTAAACTTGCACGTGTTGTTGACTTTTTCTGGGCTGCGTGTTTCACGAACACGAGTCATTTAAACTGTCCATTTCTTTTAGGCTAACCCTGTATAATCACTTACTTTCTGGCATGGAGACTTGTATTAAACTTAAGATGTTGCCATATATAAAGTAGGAAGATAAATCATTTTGGTTTATTGTTTTATCTGACCCATGCTTAATTTTCATAAAGCATGTGTATTTGTACTATTTCTTAATTGCTATGTTACGTATTTAGTGTATAGGTTACCTGTTTGTGACTGATTCTATATTCATCAGGTGTATTCTGTAGCCTTGACTGGATCGATGGAATTTTACAATAAACAATCGATTGATGCTAATAGTAATAGCTCCTAAAATATAGTTATTTGATGATTTTTCAAAGTTCAATTTACCAACATTAATTTTAAAGTGTAGAACCTTTAGCATGATTATCTACACTAACCTGATCATAATGCAAAAATCAGAAAAGAATCTAACAGTTCAATCTGGAGGCCATATAAGCTGAACTTTTCTGGTTTAAAATTGAAATGTTTTTTTTTTTTTGCTGTGAGAAGAACGGTCAGTAATTTGTAATTTGTCCATAATATACTCTTCATGAAATATACTATCTTCAAACCTGAGAAGAAGCAAAGTTAATTGTAAACACAAACTACAAATAATTCTTTAATTGTAAAAACAAACTGAATACTTACGTTCTGTTGCTAAATTGCGAACTTCATCCAACCAGACAGCCTTTGCTAATCCTTTTAACAACTTTAAGAGGAATGGCAAAATTCTGTCACGATGTTGTAATTTTGATTCAAGGAAGTATATTCCAAGAGCAATTACTGCATCCTGTCCTCTCTGATCCAGTCGAAAAACACCCTGGGCAGTTTCTTGTGGACATAATGCATACAGTGTGTTCACCTACAGAAAGTCACAGAAATCAAAATTCCTGCCGATTTCAATTCCATGTCTCAAATCAAGCATGACAACTGATGCTGAGCAAAGAACTTACTAAATTAACTTCATGGAGCTGAGCCCTTCTTGAGAAACCAGTTGTGCAGCTAATCAAGAACTTACCAGCATTTTATGGAACAAGAGCCCTGCACTGGTCCCTATCCTGAGCCAGATCAATCTAGCCCATAACACCCCATCCTGTTTCCCTAAGATCCATTTTTGTTGAACACAGATGATTTTTAAATTAGTTTATTAATTCCAAGCAGAGGAAAATTCTACTTTTAAGAGTCAACCTGTATCACTGAAAAATAACAATTAAATATAAACAAGACACAGGGCTCTTGAGAGTTAAAGCATGGAATGTGTATGATTCTGTCCACCTTAAAGTCATCAGTAATGTTATGTTAGATTAGTCACAATAACATTATTGTTATCTTCAATACCTTTGTAGTATTTAAAGGTTACAAATGAAATCATCATATAAGGTGGGGAATAATAAGCTGACCCTATACTTCCTACTTTTCTGAGGTAGTGAATTACAGAAAATTTGCCATCCATGTGCAGTAGAGGATAACAGTAAAATAAATTAACTAAACCCATCCCCTACTCACAAAAAACATGTTTTAAATACTAGATTTTAGTTTCAGTTAGCTTCTGTGGATTCTCGTATCACATTCAGCATTTAGTAATTCTTATATTTTACAACAGACATCTTCAATCACAAAATGTTTCAAGGTTATATTTTAGCGTCCTGTTGCACTGATTTAAGTCCATGATTTATTTAATCCGTCTTGCAGTGCATACACTCATTTATTTCCTTCTCTCCCTCGCACTACATGTTTCGGCATAATAATGCCATCTTCAGGTGCTTACTTATCCACGTCAAACCAGTTCATTGCATGCCATGTTCACACATTAAAATAACTAAAATATGTATCTATCATATACATTGTCAAACGTTAAAAATATTAAAATTGTTCAGGATACCACATCGCTACGTCGCCCCTCACTACGTCAGTCACGCCCATTCTCCTTTGTTGGAGCACTCCTTCACTATCTTGTGTGTTGTGCTTTTGTTGTGTCGTGCTCCTGCGACTGCGTGTGTTATACTCTGTATCCTGAACAATCTTAATATNTCAAGGGCTGTGTGAAAACATTCATGAAGTGTATTTTTGGACATACTTTACAGTTTCTAACATATTCCCTTTATGAACAAGCATTTTCACAAATAATAACAGAACGTCCACAAGTTCACAGAATCACGGTTAAAGTTAATAATGGTGTTACTTTTTTATTTATTTATTCTTTTGTAACGAGGTGACCCTTTGGCAAAGACGAGAACTACAGGAGTATAACATCCCTGCACATAACATGGGCCTCTCAGATACAACACAGATTCATGGTGTTGTGCTCTGGTTTATGATACTGTATAAGTCAGTGGATGGGTACCAACCTTTTGGAGGGACATACTGCCTAAATCTTCTACCTTGCAGATGGAGGCAATACATGTATTTTCCTCCAAACCACTGGTACCCACCTACCAGACTGAGTGGTATCATAACCCACAAGACTACAATATGAATAGACAGTATAATATATTAACTCTTTATATGTAAAATGAGGTCTCTCTAAATAACAGAATGCTGGCTATAAACACAAGTTAAGTCCTGAATTCATGTTTTGGATGTATCTTGTACATAATGATATGTTAGTGTAGTCTTGTCTAGTCTAGTCAGGGCTTAATTTTCTTTAGTACTGCATTTAGGACAAAATGAAGTAACCTGGAACATATCATGTGTCAACATCTAGCAGTGGAAGTGTGAACTTCAGCAGTCAGTTATTGCTATTTGTGGCCCGCGCCATAGCTCAAGCGGTTAGTCGCTGGCTTCCCACCACTGGAGCCCGGGTTCGATCCCAGGTCTGATCAAGTGGGATTTATGGTGGACAAAGTGTGGCTGGGGCAGGTTTTCTCCGAGCACTTCGGTTTCCCCTGCCAATCTTCATTTCACCAATTGCTCCACAATCACCCTCACCTATCATCTGGGGCTGGTACAATAGGCCAGAAGTGGCTGCAGTACAAGGCACTTAGTCCCACCACACTAGCAATAAAAAAAATACTGCTATCTGTAGTTTATTTCACAACATTATCCTCGACTCAGATTATATGGCACCAAAAGATTGTATAATAATCAACAATGAATTGGAAAGGATATTGAAGGAACTGTTATGGCTTAATTTTAGTTACTATCTTGACATTTTCTTCGAGGGACTGAGAAAGCCATGAAAGAACTCAGTACAGTTAGCGTCCTGGCCGAGATTCAGAGATTCAAACAGCCACCTCCCAGATACAAGGCTGAAACATTACAGCCTAAGCAACTTTTCTTGGTGTCAAATATATTTTCTGCTTTTCAAACTGATAATGAAGAAGGAAAAGGGAATTGAGACAACGGTGTCATAAAATTATTTGCTGTTTTGGGAGCTCCCAGTGCCAAAAACAATTGCTATGTACTTAATATGAATATGACCTTGATCGAAGAGTTTGGGCTGATCATACTGATTAGCTGTACTAGTAGAATTGGTAGAGAATTTGTGCTTTTATGTTGCATATTTTACACATTACTTTCTGTCACTGGAGCCAGGGTAGCGTAGTCGGTATGGCGACTGACTATGGGCTGGACGACTGAGGTACCGGGGGCTCTTTCCCCGTGGGTAAAGCAGCCGGGGCACGAAGCTGATCACACCTCCAGCTAATGCCGAGGTCAAGAAAATGTGGATCTAATACAGCCACTCCCCCATACGCCTTCATGGCTTACTGTCTACTTCGTTGAGCACAAGGTCAACTTTATCTTCTTTTACCTTACCATGTCACTACTGCCATCTTTAACTCTACTGCAGTTTCGGAAAAAAACGGTCTATATAACGACCATTTCTTTTCGTGACCCTGTTATACAATGAGTGTGCATACTCTCTACAGATAACCTCCTCTGTTACTAAAGTATTACTTCCCGTCATTAGTGAGATTTGTTCCGATATTACAGTTTACCTTTTCCCATGGCGTTTCTTTAATTGCAGCCAGACATCTTGCTAAATGCTGCACAGTCTTCCTAAAAAATAATTTCTCATCACAAGCCATTCTCCGTCTCTTCCTTGCACGACTAAGCTTAAACGAACAGCATCCTATCCGATCCTATCAGGCACAGTACAAAACCTTCACGGAAACCCCATCAACAAGAGTAGCGTAAGAACCATTAGTGGCACGGATACAGAATGAGTCAAAGCGGTAACAGCCGCTGTCGCCCAACCCTCATTACCAACATCAATTATACAACATTCCCTCAAACAGACCGATAGTTAGAATCGGCACGTTTTGTTCCGCATTGAAGATTTCTGGGTAAAAACACCGTGTAGATCCGTACCAACGGTTTGGAGGATATGCCTCCGCCAACATTTCTGCACTGACGAAGATGGGGTATACTCTTTCGGAACTGCTATTTACCTTTATATAGTGTCACAACTCAAACCTAGAAGACAATAATGTGAATAAACAGCCAATTCCACATGACTAATCTAGACCAAAAATAAAATATAAGGATATATACTCGTGCATACGAGAATCGATAAATGATCCTCATGCCCGTCCCATTAGACTATAGGCCTACAAAGTCATATAATTTAAAGTGACATTAAATAATCACTGCGTGTAATACAGCTTTGTTAACTAAATTACAAATTAATCAATACGAAAAACACGATGCTGTTAAAAACATTCTGTGCATACTCCAGTACTGAAATAAGACTTATGGCATATTGTAAATTCAGTTGTGATACTGATAGTCTTCAGGAACCAGTTAATGTATTTGTGTATTTAGTGGAACTGGATTCAATGCACGCAGAAAGTATTTGTAATATTTTATTCTCTACAATGCAAGCGTGTGATTTTATCAAATGTCATTGTAGCTCAGTCGGTATAACGACTAAGCTAAGTTTTCTCTTCTCCACGGCATCCATACTGTCCTGTCTGACGAATACCGGCGAAAACTTCCTTCTCAACAGGCTAGCCTGAGCTAGTAATGGAGTTCTTCTTTGCAGCAGCCCGGTAACTGCGAGCTGGCTGGCCGGAGAAGCTCCTGCCACGGATGGCTGGTGGCGATGAGTGCTAGCGATCTCTGAAGGAGTAGGGTGGAGTCGGAAGTTACCAAAATCGTTGTTGTCTTGAACAGGTGGTTGCAACTGAGATAGGGGAAAGGGAAACACGGTAACTACTGCCTCTATGAATGACTGCAGAAACTTCACGCAGGTCTCGACCAATCGGAGAGCCTAAACAAACCTTTTTTAATACCCACAATTATATGCGGTTATGGTGGTGCATAATATGCAAATTGGTAAGTATGAATTTTGATTTGGTGTGGTTGCGAAACGAAAGTAGACATTTGCAAACGAAATTACAGCTCCGTGTTAAACATAAAATTTGTGTATATGAATATTATGCTTACTACCATAAATGGAATTAGAAACATACAGAATTCTTTCAAGACTAATTTTTTTGAGGTTATCATGAACTGTCATCTAAATGATATATTTTTATTAATGTTCTGTAACTTTCTGTTAATCCCAGAGATTGTCTGTTGAATGTGAAGGAGTTCTAAGAGTACCGTGATGGTGTTATAATTTTTGTATTGCTTCTTGCAATATAAACATGAAAACGAAAACGCGTGCTGCTGCTGCTGGGTGCTTGTCATCCAGCAAGCAAGGCATCAGATTCTTCAGTTTTCCAAGGGAACCAGCACAGTATGTCTATTTTAATTCAGGTGTAATTACTTTATTATGTGTTGCTTAATCCAATGAATAAATTAAGTTTAGTGTATGTCTGTGTTCAATTTATTCAACATAACCCAAAATTTTAGAATGTGTACCAAGTTTGTAATGTTTACTGAAGAATTATTTCTAGGTTTTGAGACTTTGTTCTACTTTTACAAGGCTGCGGTATGGGCAGGAAAAGGTGAAATATCCTGCACTGTTGATTCTGCTAGAATGCTGCACAATAAATATTTGTGCAGCAAACATTTCCTGGAAAGTGATTTCACTACAGCTCAGATGCTGCTTCACAGTCACTCCCACAATCTCCTGTCCCTTCCTTGAATCCCTTGCCACATGAAGACTGTACTCAGGTTGTATTTCCCACCACCTACAAGACACTGGTGTCATTCCCTGTAACACATATTCCTATCCATGCACATGGTCCTTCCACTTCCTTTAAAATGTTTGCAGTGCAACAATTACCAACAGCAGCCACCAACTTTTGCAGTGATAGAAACCTCGTTTCTCCTAAGCCCTGTAAATATAAATGCTTCTGATGGCGAACTCAGGCATATCAATTATTGCAGCAAGCCACAACACTGTATTGGCTACAGGTAAGGACCACTGCACTCTATACTATGAATTATGTTCTGAGAGAAGTGGCTAGTGAGAATAATGAGAGCTAATTTTTTAAGTAATTGTTCCAAGAACCCAGTTGTGATCAAACAAATGTCATTGTCATCATTCATTACTTACAAAACTGTACGTCAATATACAATTTTATTATAAATCTTATTTTACTGTCTTATGTGCAACTTTTTAAGTTTTAAATTTTAAACCTAAAGTTAATAAATCGTTTCACATAAGACTGTAAAATAATAATTATAATAAAATGGAAGATTGCAACAGGATGCTACAATACAAACTTATCAATACAAAGTTATGTAGGATATGTCAAATGTTTTTAGGGTAATTAAAAATGTTTGAAAAGCAGATCACACTATCAGTAATATGATTTATAAGAGAATAAGGTGTTGACAACTGCTATGAGGAATAATTTACTGAAATATAGAAAACCTTTATAATGGCAGTCCCTTTCAAGTAAAGTGTGTTATTTTCAAATCTGAAGAAGTCCATCATGTAAGGACGCCCACTAATTTCATTTTTAATATTCTTCCAGTGGGGTGTTGTGGTGAATACCTGGCAACAGCTGTTTGGTGATCACCTTGTGAACACATGTGAAGCTATTCGTTTGTAGTCTGGTTTGAACAATAATCCAACCATGGGACAGATTGTAGATGCCCTGAAGACTTAACATCATCAGTTCCTTTGCTATCAGAGGTCTCTGTGGAACTAGTTGTGAGGATGATGGTGCTACTGTTGTGTGCAACCTACAGTCATTGTTCAGGGCACCTGATGCTTCTTCACCAAATCTGTCCACAAGTCGTGGCAAGGAAACCCCTGATGAAGTTCCTGAGTTTCCATGTTACTCAACAAGTACAGAAGGACATGGTTGCTGCAGTACATGCTGGTGACATGGAAGTGGTTCCATTGCCAGACAGGTGCTTCGTGGTGTCAGCTGTGATGCACGCAAGACATGCGTGACATCTGAAGTGCTGCTGTCAGCCAATGTCTTCATATATTTCTGAGACGTTGGTGTGGAGACTGTTGGTATGCTGTAACTGTAATGGAATCTATGATGGCAGGCAATTCAATTCATGTTGCACCATATCACAGCTGCCATTAAGAGCACCATTGACTTGGAGTGGATTAGGTGTGCTGGTTGTTCACTTCACTACCAATGAATAGTAGATGGTATTGTGAGATGTCTCACAAGAATTTACATTCCTTGGTGGTGTAAGTGGACAAACAGGTTGATGACTGAATCAGCCAGGCAAAGGGACACAAAGAGGAAGATTGAGATACTGAAACATCAGTAAGTCATTAGGAAAGTAATGCTTCTTCAACTTTGCTTTGTAATATCCTGCCCATACCAGCCCTGGAAATTGGCAGACAGCAGTTATTGAATTACTGGAATAATATATTCCAATTTCTCACATGAGGATCAATAGATATTTCATAAGTTTGATAAAGTAACCCTGGTGACAAGCAACTCCAACTACCGTACCTTCACATGCTCTTGCCTCAAACCTCTGGTATTGGGTAATTTGTTTATAACATTTGTCACCTACAGTCAGATTATGTACAAGAAACCTATTCTGATCTTGAGCTCCATCTCTTCCCTACTTTGCAGACTTGTTTCCTTCTTCCCAGTGTATTAGAACATCATTGTCAGAAGATGGTCAGAGTTCATTCTGCCCTCTATCTGAAATAATTATATTTCAATCAAGAATTGTGTGGGAAATTCTTTTCTGACTCAAATGGCTCTTGTTTATATGTGGGTAAGAATGAAGTGGCATCACTTTATAATTGACTTGCAATCTTCAGGTTACCTGTTTCAGCGTGAAACACTGAGGAGCAGAATCAATGTCAGGATTCAGTGTATATTTTGTAATTAAATTTATTAACTACTTCTTAGGTAGGACGTTTTACTTATCAGTGTCTACATATTTTATTCATCTAATTTGTTATTATGGGTATATCCCTGGAGTCATTGCATTATGTTGGCCATATTATTATGTTCAGCATTGAACTTGTGAACATTTACATATTTAAGATTTTCAAGGTTCATTATATTGCTTCAGTAATTTCATTATGTTGGCCATATTATTGAACACAACATAATGAAATTACTGAAGCAATATAATGAACCTTGAAAATCTTAAATATGTAATGTAGCACGAATGGGGGAGACGAATGCGTGTAGGATATTGGTGAGAAAGCCAGAAGGAAAGAGACCACAGGGAAGAACAAGGAGTAGGTGGGTGGACAATATTAGAATGGATCTTAGAGAGATAGGATGGGATGGATTGGATAGATCTGGCTCAGGATAGGGACCAGTGGAGGGCTCTTGTGAACACGGTGATGAACCTTCGGGTTCCATAAAATTCTGCGAAATTCTTGAGTAGCTGCAGAATTGCAGCTCCTCAAGAAGGGCTCAGCTCCATGAGTATGTAAATAAATAAGCGGCCTCTGTAGTCTAGGGGTAACGTTCCCACCTCATGACTCAAGGTGTGCAGGTTCAAACCCGGCGGAGGTCGTGGAATTTTTAAGGGCGGAAAAATTCAGGGAACAAGTCCTCCAGGAGGGACTTTAAGCCGTGGGTCCCGTGTCGTAGCTTTACGGCACGTAAAAGAACCTCATGCCTCAAGGAGGCCTCTGAGCCAAATTATTAAGGACATTTCCCGCCCGCCCAACAATAGTCTTAACGCCTCTGGTAGATGGGGGAATCATCTAGATAAAGCTGAGCCAGTAGAGGCCGAACTCGCTGGCTGAGTCGGGACTGATGGCACGCACCAGTATCGGTAGGGTATAGGGATTGGTAGAATATCACAGGGAGATGTACAATAGACCACTGGTTGCGGTGCATGGGGAAACCCACCCCCTCCAATAATAATAATAATAATAATAATAATAAGTATTATTGTGTTT